CGGACGAAAGCTTAGCACCTTTTCATCGGAATCGAAGGAGATTGCCTCGGAAACAGCGTCAGCATGAATGATCCAGTAAAGCCAAACGACAACTGGTCAAGAGGAATCCGCTATTGTCTTCTGGTGGAACCGACCTTCGAATCTCTTCACTCAACACTTTGACTCAAAATGGAAGTAAGCACAACACTCTATATCTATCCAGGTTTTTAATTTCCTTTTGCCGACACAAGAAGTAAGATAGAGCCGGTTAGTGTCAACGTGAGACTTTTACAGTAACGAGATCCAGCTCTCAAGTTGTCCATCAAATGATGGACAAAAGTCCAGCCCGTTTTCACCCGTAACGAGAGAGGATATCTCGTGGACTGCGTCAACATATACATCGTGTAAAAGCCAAACGGCTACAGTACAACTGGATTCATCCGTCCTCTTCTGTTGAGATCTACATTTAAATCTCTTCTTCGTGCTCTTTCATACGAAATGAAAGTCCCTCCAGCATAGGTTCACTTAGTTCCCGCCGATGTACCATGCTCCGAGTGGAGTAGCGTGAGTTGACAGACTACTGTTAATTGGCTCCTTGTGACGAGACATACAGCCAGACTGAGTATGGAGTAAGATTGCCCGCAGTCTCCACGGCTACTCCCATCACGAAGTTCAACGGCAACATGAAGTGGTATTTATTTCAACTTGGTCTTGTTGTCAGGACGACTGCGTAGAACGCACCTAATTCAACAAGACCAATTTGCGGCAACGAGGTCAACCCACTTCTATAAATCGAAAGGAGACTGCGACCATACCAGAGGCCACAACTTCTTGGTCTTCATATCTGACATTTATTTCATTTCATTCCTTACGTCTCTTCAAGCGACCTCGGTTGACTCAAACCACATTTGGAAGCTGTAAATTGGCCAATAAGATCAGCTTCAACTGGCTCGTCTGCAGAGCTCTGCAGGCATGCAGGAGACCTCGGTTCAACCAACTCGACTTGTCAGCCAGTCGGGCAAAACTCTCGAATAGCCACGAGTTTCGAAGGTTGATCTCACCGGAAGACGACGAACAGCACACTCAGATGCTTCAAGGTTGACAGATGACATGAACTAACCAAATCACTTTGTACCTCAGCCAAGGGCTTAGATTGAGGGTCAGCTGGAATGTGGTTGTAGGAATGATACCCTGTTCTAAGCATGTCTATCATACGATGGACGAAAGCTACCACATTTCCGCCCGAACCAAAGGAGGTTGCC